GAAGAAACATCCAATTTTTTGAGTGATGGGCCGAAGAATTGAAGTAATTTCGGAGTGTTTTGAATATGAAGCCCGGAAATGTTGAAGTATTTCAAATTTTGTAACGTTTCCTTTGAACAACGAAAGCCGAAGTGATCGTCCCGACGAAAAACTATACCATTTATGTCGTCCACATCAATTTTCATTGAATTTTCCATGCAACTCAAGTCAATTTCGTTGTGATTCTTCCAAATTTCCTCAACACTTTCGGTTTGTTCTTCAATATTCTGCTTCTTTTCGTTTCTTCCAAGCGAGTTCTGTAGAAAGTCGAACATTTTACAGTCGATGCGAGTGATCAAGTTATTTTCCAGCCGCAATTTCTTCAATTTTTTGTTCTTTTCAAACAGTCGGCCATCGATTGTTTGTATCAAATTATGGCTCAAATTCAAAACTTCCAAATTTTCAAGATTCGAGAATGTTTCATTCACGAATGTCGCGATTTTGTTGTAGGAAAGATTAATTTCTACAACATTTGGTATAGAATTGAAAATTGTCGGCTGAATTTCGTCCAAACTATTGTGAGATGCATCAAATTTGTTCAAATTCTCAAAGTTTCCAGTAAAATTTAGTGACCTCAGTCGATTTTTAGACAAATCAAGTACTTTCAAACTTGGTTGGGTAGTATTGAATGTGAAATTAGTCAGATTCATGTTACTCAAGCCCAAATGGCATAAATTTCCAAAATATTCAAAAACTCGCACGAATCTGAAGGTTTTGCTCTTTGATTTTCCCAAGAAATTCGAAGATAAATCTAATACTTCGATGGATGGTCCCAGCAGTTCAACCAATTTCGACGTGTTTTGTAATTGATTCCCAGAAATATTGAAGTAGGTCAGGTTTTTGAAGTTTTCATCAGGAAAATTCAATTTGGAACTATTTTTTGATGTACTGAAAATAACACTCTTCTTTTGGAATTCAATTTTGATTGACTCTCCCAAGTAGCTTGTGTCTAGCTCTTTAAGATGATCACTGGAAACACGAACGGAAGTTGAAAGTAAGAATGGTCGAAAAATGTTCCCGTCAAAACGTTTCAGTGGATTTCCTTCTAAATTCAGTTGGTTCAACTTTTTATTGTGTTCAAACATATTTTCATCGATTGTTTCAATAAAATTGAACTTTAAATCCAGGAATTTCAGTTCACTAAGTCTCGAGAATGCGCCTTGTTCCACAATTACAATTTTGTTAAATGAACAATCAATGCTATTGAGATTCGGTGTATTAAGAAAAGTCGATCCAAAAATTGTAACGAGTTCATTATGCGATGCGTTGATTTTTTGTAAACTGCGGAAATTCAAATCGGCCGCCGATAAGTGTTCCACTCCATAATCAAATAGGTCGTACGTATGCAGCGATCGGAAAAAATCAGAAAGGCTTGAATTTAAGCGATTTCCTCTGCAATCACCAGTTTCCAAAATTTGCAATTTGTCTTTTAAATACTTATTCTTAAAATAGGCATGAAAACACTCTAGTGGCTCATGTGTTCCATGGAAATCTGTACAAGATAATCGCACATGATAAATGTTGAACTCAACAAATTCACAGTTTGTTATTTCCCCAGAATGCGACAATTTCACCAATTCCAAATATGTTAAACAGATTAAATAAAGAATATTTTTTTTACTTATAAACATTTTATTGTTCGAATGAATTTTAACTTTAGATTTCTACAATGCGATCTATCTAAATGAACTATTTATTGTGACTTGTTGAAAAGCTTACAAAGAGATTATACCCATGGCTCTTATCTAGTAGCAGTCGAAGATTTCATAGAACGTGACTTCCTCTGTTTGGCTTAACGATTTAAAACAACAGTTGTTTTGCCTTAGTCTGGTCTAATCAGCGCCGTCTCATCCTGGAGGCAAATGAGGCAACGGCCTCAGGGCCCCGCGTTTTTAGGGGCCCCGAGCTGCTTAATCATTGAAATTTCGAGAAAAACTGCATAGAAAAAAAATTGACGAACGAAGTTTGTTTGTTTCACAGAGAGAAATGTCATACCACTACAATTATAGCAACTGAATAAATTTCGCTACTTTACGGATTCTATACAACCAACACAGATACATTGTACTAACTCTGTATAACTTGTATGTGTTTAGCTGTCAAACATCTGAGATGCGCTGACACATACAAGTTATACAGATTTCGTACAATGTATCTGTGTTGGTTGTACAGAATCCGTAAAGTAGCGAAATTTATACAGTTGCTATAAGTGTAGTGGTATGACATTTCTGTGTGTGTTCCCTTCAAAATTGATTTTAGATCATGTTCTATTTAAATACATTCTCAATCTATGTGTTCTTTTCATTCTCAGCCATTCATATGCATTCGTTAAATAGTAACGCTCATGACCAGCAGTTTTGATCAATATACAAAATATAAATGAATACTAGTGTATAAATATTGACATTTGAGTACAATGTGTAGTGTAAGTCTATCATTGTTAACTGAAATCATTTGAAGTTACAAGTCAATGTAAGTTACTTAATTTGGGACAAAGTGATTTTCTTAGTACAATCAACGAAAGTCAACTGAAGTTACAGTCAGTCAGTTATTTTTTTCACGAATTACATGTGTTCGAATCAATCGAAATTGTCACAATATTCAAAATTTTAAAACTTGTGGTATCGAGAAAAAAAATTTGGGCCCCGGAACAATTTTGCCTCAGGGCCCCCGAAAATGCTAAGACGGCACTGGGTCTGATAACACATTCCTTCAACCAAAGAGCAATTGCAGCGTACAAAGGCCTACAAAAATTACACTTTCATGTCAACAAACTAAAATTGAATGCCTCAGATTGAAAATAAAGCGTCATTTTTTTTAGTGAAGAAAATACAAATTGGATCTGTAAATTGTCTAAGGCCGAATGGGGCACTTCTATATATAAATTTATTTATATATAAATAAATTTAGTATAGTTTGTCTAAACTTATACACCCTGTGGTACCAGGCTGTTGTGTATAATGTTTTAGTCTAGAACTTTTAGAAATTCGTTTGATATTTTTAGGAGGTTCAATAAGTTTTCTATGTTTTTAACCATGTGTATACAGTTTTTATTTTCACCAATTCAAATGGCTCAATGATCCAACTGTTCGCAGCAATTCAAGCCTACCCGAATAAAGATTAGGTTAAAAGACGTCCTGTACATATATACATGCTCTTGGTTCAAACTATGGACAACATCTTTTCCGCACATACTACTGTGAGCGTAATAATGTGGTTGTTCCTTCTGAGATACTTGCTCCAGTGCGTTAGGATAGCTTTGTAATAACAGTTTAAAGTACTAACGTGTACAAAGTACAGACAATGTCAACTTTGATAGCAAACAAAGTTTGCTGATAGATTAACATAGTTTGAATAAAAATCAACAGTGTTATCGTATCGGTCATAATTTGACTTTGTTTCAATACATATTGTACTCGATTGGTTTAAATTTCTATATCAATTCATTAAATTTTGAAGAAAACACAGACTTTTTTTCCTCACATAATCAGTAAAAATTTATTCAAAGACCTATTTGAACTTTTCTTTGACTCAGTTGAACTTTTTGCTATTTCAAGAAGAAATAAATAGTCTTACCTCCGTAAGACGAACTTTTCCGCACCGTTTTCATAGCGTTCAGCTTTTATTCAGATTTTGCCTAGGAAATTTATAAGAATTTTCAGAAAAAAACAACAGTACGTTCATGTATTTTATGGAAAATTGTATTATGATTCCGAAAATCTTGATGTTGGGTATTCAAATGAAATAAAACGTCTGATTGTCTTTATTGTCATCTGAATACTGAAAAAATTGGAAACAAAATGTGACGAGTTGAAAAAAATACAACTTAAAATAACCACATTTTTCTTGACCAAAATCATAATGCGTCTTTCTTTTACATTGTATTTATATGGCAGCCCTTCGAATCTATAGAACCACATGAATGAGCGAAGGAGTGATTTGAAACTCTCATACAAAAGCGCTATTTTTAACAAAATTAAGAACAAAAAAATGTAAGAAATTTTGAATTGTTATACCGATTTGATACGAAAAATATAGGTTAGAGGGTGCTAGGTTGTTCCTAGGCCCCTATTATTTTGAAGAAATAAATCGGGTGGGAGTGATAAAATCCACCTGGGAGCCTATTTTGGGTACCTTCCGAACACAAGTTCGATTTTTCAAGGAATTTTGAACTAACATACCGATTTAATACCAAAAAGGTGGGTTAGCGGGTGCTAGGTTGTTCCTGGACCCCCTTTATTTTGATGAAATAAATCGAGTGGGCATGATAAAACCCACCTGGGGAGCCTATTTTGGGTACCTCCCGAACAAAACTTCGATTTTTTGAAGGTTTTTCATAGGCTAGGTATCCTAGGGTACATCTGGGGTGGCTGAAAATTTAATGGTTTTCAAGTCTAACGAAGCACAAACGTTTGGTACTTGCAGAATTTCATTTCCTATTCTGGTATTTGAGCAGTCGTGCTAACAAATTTTTGCGTACAGCGTACAGCGTACAGGGTACGACACACCCACATTAACATAGCAAAATAATCACTGTATCGTGCTTTTTGGTTTCGAAAATGGATAGAAAAATGGTTTTTTTGGGTACCTAGGTTTTGGAGTGATAACAATACTTTTACTCACGACAGTACGAAAAAGTAATTACAATTTCAAAAATTTCAACAAAAAAAATAATTTTAAGTTTCAATTAATTTGACCTCATGTTGATAATCTGCTTGATTTTGATGATAAATAACACCATTTTTCGCTGAGTTGGCTGTTATTTTACGTTTGATTCGTTGAATGAGTTTTGATTTCACCACCATACATCCCGTGCATAATGTGACAAACATCGAAATGAGTAGATATTTCAGAGCCCGTAATTCGACAGCAACTAATGACTCATGGTATTCATGGAAAATTTCATCTGGGTTTACCTTATTTGTTGACATCTTGTTTGATATGAATGGTTTTGTATCAATCTACGTCCATACTTTTTCTTTGTCTGCAGCTTCCGTTGTAGTATGTTCAGAGCTGACATGTTGATCGTGAGAGCACTCGATGCCATCGATGTTTGTTTGGTTTGTTGGGTGCACAATAAGCTCCGTATTCGCTTTGTGCCATTGGGGTAAGTATGCTGCAAGATAATCGCATGTAAAGTGATTTTTCGAAATTGCCAGCGAACTAATTGTAGGGAAAATTTCTGGGTTTACACTGTTCAGTTGAGTCAGTTCATTTCCCTCGAGGCTAAGTTTTTGTAAATCTGGAAAATTTCGGTATAGTAGCGTAAAATTAACTTTCTTCAAACGATTTTGCGATAAATCGAGAGCTTCCAATTTTCGCTGATGGTAAAAAGTGCTGAACCCGAAATTTGACAAGTTTGTTTGACTTAAGTTCAAATATTTCAAACTATCAAATCGTTCGAAGGTCCGTGCACTTATTTGTCCCTTGCTGTGTGTTTTGTAGATGATTGCCACTAATTCAAAATTCTTTGATATTCTTGAATTGTTTTTTGCTGTAGCGAAACGTAAAATTTGGTTTCGGAACGCGAAAAATCACTTCGTTCTCTTCATCTAAATCAATTTGGAGTCGATGTTCCAAGCAACTTGTGTCGATTTTTTCAAAAACAATTTCAGAAGAGACTGGAATAGACTTCATCAGCAACGAAAACCAATCACAAAGCCCAATTGGATTATCATGCAGATGCACCACTTTCAATTTTGTATTATTCCGAAATAAATTACCATCGAGCACTTTGATGGAATTTCCACTTAAATCTAATATCCTCAAGTTATTCAGGCTAGTAAATGTATCGTCACTTATGTAAGATATATCGGTGTCGCTTAGATTCAAATTATTTAAGTTGGGTAACGTTTGAAATGTATTATCATACAGATAATTTGATTCGAACCCATTGTGAGAGACGTCCAGCACTTCTATTCTTTCGTTCAATTGTGCGGTTACTTGATTTGTGTTTTGTATCTCATTGCCCGATATGTTAAGATATGTTATGTTTGGCGCATATAATACCGATCTTTCCATCCTATTCCACCAACGCGTTGACTGCAAAAGCTCTCCATTGAAGTTAGGATGTAGTGGTAAATTGTATTGATGAAAGGTGATAATATCCTCATCAAAACTGATAGCAAGTGTATTACTTGAGGAGGGGTTCATGCAATTTGCATTAAGTTCTTTAATATTGCCCAATGAAATATGTACCGAAATTGGAATCGAATTTGGATCTAATCCAATAGTGTCACGATAAAAAATATTACAGTCAATTCGTTTCATCGGATTATTTTCTAAACGCAATGTATGCAACTGTAAATTTTCTTGAAACATCTCATTTTCGATCGTTTGAATCAAATTATGACTTAAGTCCAATGTCATCAGTTGACCAAGACTCGCGAATGTTCCTACTTCCATTGTAGTGAGGTTGTTGTGTGACAATATGATCGTTGTTAAATCGTAGGCTCCCTCGAAGTCATCCGACGAAATTGCACTGATTTTGTTGAAGGAAAAATCAAGTTCAACTATTTGGTGAGTATGAATGAAAATCGATCCTTTGATAATGATCAATTGATTATGCGATGCATTGATACATTGCAATCGTTTGAAATTCAGCTCTTCGGAGGTTATAGTTTCGACTTGATGAAATGATACATCATAGTTCTGCACGTTTGGAAAATGGTCGGGAAGAGTTTTATTCAAACGATTTCCTTTACAATCGCTTGTTTTTAAATGTGACACTTCGAAGTGGTAATTTTGGTAATAATTATATTCGTCTCCAAACATAAATGCAGAACAATGATCGGCCGCACTCTGATCGGTGCACACTAACTGTATTGCATTGTATTCGGTTATGAAAAAACAACTGCCTGTTTTATACATTTCGCTGACGCTTACTTTACTCGATGAGGAAAACGGCACAAAAAACCTTTTCCTTCATTCTCATCAGAAGTTCTGGTTGCTCTACTTTGAATGTGATCTCTATGGTTGCTTCATTACGACTGATTGCTGTACAGCATTCAAAACACTATTGAGTAAGTGTCGTTATATTAGTTGTTATACTTTAGGAGAACCAACAACATATCACAGCCTAGAAGTAAAGCCAATTTTATCATTTCGCACGATGCGAGTGCATTGATAAAAACTACAACTCATTTCAATATCGTTTTGAAGCGGATCTTTCTTGCATTAGAAAAGCTATTGACTACCAGAGAAAAAATTTCGTCAGCCCTTTTGCACAAACTACTATACTTCGTTGGCATACTACCGGTCATTAGTGCAAACACGCTAAAATCTCTATTATACTTTAAATTGGAAAAGTATGAAAAAAAAGTATTTTCTCTGACATATAGGCCAAATGTCCATTAAAAGGTTAGACTGTGCTTAACACGGTACGTGACGCTAAAAGATTTTCTATAAAGTCGAGTTTCTGCCTACCACAATAATCCGACAAAGAAAAGTTACATTGAAGCATAATGGTGTCAACGGGAAGTACACTCCGAGATAAACTTGATGCAGGAAGACTGTTGCATGCCATCGAATACTGTTGAAACAAACGTTATGTTGTGCAGTTATCATCATACAAAAAGTGCAAAGTCAACTCAGCAAAAGTCAAAGTCCAAACCAAGATTCGCTTATATTATACCTACCAAACTGCACATTGCACATTAATGCGACAGATTGTATAGCACTGAACGCATCCGCTTAAAGTGTCTCTTGGTTTAAATGGAGATGAATAGAATGTTGTTCAATTCATTATTTTGAAGCGTTTATCAAACAATAAGCGTGCGCTTTTCTCACTCCTTTGATTGGAAATAGTGTATAAAAAAAAATTCAAACTTTTTGTCCAAAATTTCAATGAATTTCTTTATTAACGAGTCGTTTGCTTTCATCTTTTTACAATTTCATTCTCAAATCAATTCAACATAATGCTAAAAATCTTCCTGGCCGTGTCGAAAAGCAACCGCACTTTCCATTGAATTTCTTTCCATTTTTCGTTTGATGCGTTGAACAAGTTTACACTTCACTACCAAATATCCACAGCAAACTATAATGATTAGATATTTTAATGCACATAGCTCTTGCAAAACGTAATTCGGTGAATCATCCACAGAACTTGCTTTGACAAGATTCATCTTATTCCCAGCTGATGAATCCGTATCCAAGCTAGCTTGTGTGTTTGTTGATGTTTCACGTGAACTTGGCATTACTACTGACTTCACCTGTTCAGTTGAGCTACTTATTACCTCAGCTTTATCGTCATGTACACAATCAACTCCATCGATATGCGTGCCATTGGATGGGTTATGAAAAAGGTGCAGGTTTTGCCATGGTAATAAAAATTTCGCTAGGTAATAGCAAGAAAACTGGTTTCTTGAAATGCCCAGTGAAATCAGTTTTGGGAAATGTGTGCGAGTGACACTGTCAATGTTGGTCAAATCATTGCCTTCTAAACTCAGTGTTTCCAAGTTTTTGAAATTCCGAAATAACAGCGTGAAATCGACTTTCACTATGTGGTTGAAAGAAATGTCAAGTGACTTAAGCTGATTTTGATGGTAAAATGTACTGAAACCAAAGTTCGAGAGTTGAGTACTGCTTAGGTTGAGGTGATGTAATTGTTTTAGCTTCCCGAAAACGGTACCATTCAATTCACCCACGAAATTCGAAGAAATGTCCAAACTTTCAATGGTTGATCCCAACTCTTCAATCACCTGCGGAGTATTTCGAAGGTGATTTCCTGAGAGTCTTATACTTTTCAGAGCTCTGAAATGTTTTTTAGTACAATTTAAATCAGCATTGCTTCCTATCACACGGAAGCTAATTTCATTTTGTCCATCCACATCAATGCGAAGTGAATTCCTCAAGCAGCTTGTGTCGAGCTCCTGCACAGCGTCCCACGTAAGACGCACTAGAACTGAATTTTTCAACGGCCATAAAATATTACAATCGACACGTGTCAATGGGTTATTTTCAATGTATAAAATTTTCAATTTCAAATTATTCCTAAACAAATGTTCATCGAGGTTTCTGATCGTATTTCCGCTTAAATCCAAATTCACCAATTCATCCAAATTCGAAAATGTATCATAATTAAGCATTGATACCTGCGTGTGGCTCAAGTTCAACTGTCTCAAATTGATCAATTTTCGAAAGATATTACCATTTAATAAATTGTTCGTGAAGAAGTTCTGCGATGCGTCTAAATTGAGGATTGATGTTCCCAATTTCTCGATTACTTCTTCTACGCTCTGAACTCGATTGCCTGAGATATTGAACTGATTTATGAGTGGAAAGTAGCCGTTGATTCCCATTATTACTGGCAGCGGATAAAGGTAACTGCGTCTTTGCATGGCACGAAAAATAACTTTGTCACTGTTGAACTCAATTTCGAGTGAACTTCGTCCTCTCATGCAATTTGCGTCAAGCTCATCAATATTTGCCCAAGAAACAAACATCGCAATTGAGCTGACAAACTGGTAAAATACATTGCAATCGACACGATTCATTAGATTATTTTCCAAATGCAAAATTTCTAACTTATGATTGTTTTGAAATGTATTTCTTTCGATCGAATCGATCAAATTATTGCTTAAATCCACTTTGGTCAGTTCATTAAGACCCACAAATGCTTCTGAATTTAAGGTCGATAATTTGTTGTGTGACAGTGTGATCGTTCGCAATTTTGATGCTGCTTTGAAGCCATCTGTGGATATTTCGCTGATGTTGTTGAACGAAAAATCAACTTCGAAAAGTTGTGGAGTTTGAATAAAAATCGACCCAGGTAGATTGGGTAGCTCATTGTGTGATGCATTCAATATCCTAAGATTTGCAAACTTTAAACCATCAGAAGTTATTGCGTCCACCCCATGAAAAGAAATATCGTAGGTTTGTAGATTTTGAAAAATATCAGGAAGAGTTTCATTCAAACGAGTCCCTCTACAGTTACCAGTTTTTAACAGTCGCACGTAATTATAACTACTATGGACAAAATTTGATGAAAAACAGGAATCCTTTTGAACGAATTCACCACAAACCAATTGTACGTAGTAAGGGTTGTAATCCATGAAGAAACAGTCTTTGATTTCGGTAGCGTAACACACACTCAATGCACTTAATTGAAATAAAAGAACTACTCGGAGAATTTGATCCATTTTGAACAGAACTTCTTATTATTTACTTCATGAGCTTAGTCTCTTCTGAAGTTTGAATTATCATCTTTCGAATTACTTTTGTAGAGCCATTCACTTAAACGATAGTTAAGTAATGTTCACACATCTAGGTCGAGAGAACGAAGGATAAAAAACCTCGTTCGTACCAGGCACAATATGGGTTTTTAGCTCATATTCTAGCGACGTAATAATCTTTGTTTACATACATATCATTTCCTTTGTAGAAGGCCACTGCGAATAGTGTGCGATAAATTCTGTTCGACAAACTCCAAGAAGTCAAGGTCAATTTCAGATTATGAATTCAAACAATATGAAACAAAGTGATTTTAGAAGTTCGTACAAGGTCAATGTTTATTATCAGAATAGAGAAGGAAACTCGTGGCATAAAGATTATGTGAGTGTTTGATAACTAACTCGCCAATGATAGTCCAGTTTGTCAGAGAATCAGAATTTTGGATCAAAGTTTTGTTCACGTGGAACTTATTCAATGAATGAAATTAGATGTGTGTTTGTTACCATTTACGGAACTATTTGCTATTTCAAATGTGGAAAATACTCAACGCGAAACAAAGTGTCTGATATGTTAATTGCTTACAACCATATTTATGTTTATACACACGTTTTGTTCACTATATTATTCTCGTTAGTTCAGTCAGTTTACCATGCTGACAAACAGAATTCGTTCTTTTCTTATAACAAGAATTCAATTTGAGAACAAATGAATTTGGCTCATATTTTGGATATGCATAAGACTATTGAAAAATAGTAATTAATAAAAATTATGTGGACTGTCTAAATCATGTCATTATTTATCGACAAAGTAATTGCTGTGTTTTTAACCTCTTTTGGATTTCAACGTAATATCAAACGCCAATGAAAACTTCAAAAAGACATTAAGAAAAAAAACAGTCCAGAACATGGGTGTTGAATGTCATTCAACGCCACTAAGCTGTAGACATCTCTCTCCGGCTATACGGTAAACAACAGAACCAACACTGAACATGAAAATGACATGTTCAATTGTGTTTGTTTCGTTAGTTTCAACTGTGCCGCTACGAGAGGTCACTTTTGTCGTTTCTTTTTGTTATTTTACATACAAAATCAATGGTATTAGATGAGGACGGTGGCGTGCAAAGCATGAGGCATGTGAGGCATTTGCCTCGGGCGGCGGTTTTCATGGGGCAGCATTTTGCTAGCGGAACGAGCAAAAAATTGTTAGCAAATAAAAATGATCGATGCGAAGTGCAGGGCGGCATTTTGCTTTGGGCAGCAAATCAGAAAAACTCATTCATTTGTTTCAATGGAATTCGTTTAGAAAAAAAAATGAACAACTGCGTATGTCGCAGAGAGTAAAATAAGCGGTATTTTTGCCCATTTTGGGCAGTTCAGAGAACATTCCTTTTCAAAAAATTGGCGCAGTTCAAAAATCCAAATAATAATCATTTTAATTTCTATACGATCAAATTACGCACTTATTTCTCAATGTACATTGTACATTCATATGACTGTATGACATAAGAAAATCGTGTTGAACGTCAAAGTTTTCATTATGTTTTGAAATTCAGACTCGAAATTTTGAGATTTGAGAATATCAATACCGGAAGACGTAACGACGATGAACTGTCGTTGTCGATGTTGAGAACAGTATTTGGATTTTAATTAGTTGATTCCAAAATTTATGCTTACATATTCTATGTTTGGAAGATCAACAATGGATCGGATTATAGTCAAAATTCAATTATTACTGTGTATAATGGTGGAAAATTTTCGGCTCGCTCCGCTCGTCCCATTTTTCCTCTTCAATTCTTCTTCTTTTCTTGATTTTTTTTTCAATTTTTCAGGCAGTTCTAATTTTTTCTTATTTTACTCTCTGGTATGACGTAAGAGAATCCAATAAAGAACATATAAGATTCTACTTCCGAAGCGATAACTCTTATGTCAAGCACTTGTCAGCGCTAGAAGTGAGCTGTCAAACGCTTAGATGGACTACCACTCAATCAGCAAAAGCTAACGTTTAAATCTGTAAAATTTGGGGCGGCATTTTGATAATTTGCCTCGTATAGCACAAAACCTTTGCACGCCACCGGACGAGGATGGTCCAGAATACATTTTTGTGTAAATGCAAGTTTTCCAATCGATTCTTTGGACCTTGAACTCCAATATAGTAATTTACATATTCTCTAGGCCAAAGGTGCTGGATATCATCGAAATGCCGAACAACCTCAAAAATCACCATACGTGACGTTCCAGTCCCTCTAAATCGGCTATAGCTCTTGATCTACGATACTTAGAGATAAACCTTGTTCACAAAAACGTTGCGTCTTGGTACCTATTTTCATATGAGAATGATAAACATTAACCTTAAATCAGAATTATGAATAAAAATTCGAATTTCACACTTTTTATTCTTCTGTCTACCAAAAAAATGACATAACTTTTTATGATGGACATTTATTTTGTTATTAAAAAAAAGAACATCAGGTATTTTCGTGCTTTTTGACAGATGTACTAAATTGAATGTTTTCTGTGTCGACATCTGGTTGGTTTACTACTATCTTCTCGCACGGTTCTGATGAAGATTTTATTTATTGTTTATCCAATTTTATATAAAATTACTTTTTCATTCATAAACCCAATTCACACATAAGAGAGAAAAAAATTGTCATCATCAAGTTTAGAACACGGCAGAATCTATTGCAAATATTTTGTTTGATCCGAAAAAATGAACTCAAATATTTGAAAATTGTGGTGCCGAGATGATACAACCAAATTGATCGTTGCACATTCGTATGTAACAAACGGCATGACGATTTACATTTAGTACATAAAATCTACAATTGAAATCGCCCTACCCGAAGACATTTCGGCAAATTTGCCAAAATTTGAATATTCATCTAATTTAGTAAGGGAATGTAGTCTCAAACGGGCCGGCGGGTCAAACGGGCCACCACCGAAAATTTTGACAGTTGACATATAAACGTCAGACTGATCAGTGTCAAGTGAATGAATCATCGATAGCTAAGTTTCAGTGTGGTTTCGAAGAGTAAAGACGTACTCTGTGTATGATAAAAAAAAATCGTGTCGAAATTTTTTTTAAAACAGTTTTTAGTGCATTTTGCCGACAACCATTGTGTGATTTCTTTTCGGTAATTTTTCAAGGTAAATATATCATACGTGTTGTGAAAAGTGCATATTTTTAGCGTATAAAGTCAATTTTGATGTTATTTTATCATGGAAAGTTTTTGTTGCGTCATGCAAAAATGACATGTTTTGGTTCAAACGGGCCACTTTTGTCGTCTCAAACGGGCCACCCAACATTTTTCTTGATTACACTGATACATAATTTCTATGATGAAATATCGTGTTCAATGCAATAACATGGCATTTTAAAGTGAATTTATAGCTTCTTTTCATAAATTCAGGTGGAAAATGTCGTCGAGTGGAAAACGTAAAAGTGATCGTGTGCTACCGAATCGCGATAACGACGCCATAGTCAACGCATTGAAAGCAGTGAAATTGGGCAAACAGGCAGAAGAAAGCAGACAAGGCGGCAAAGAAAGCGGAAAAGGCGGCAACATCGAAAGCCAGCGCATCGAAAGCGAAGCCATCAAAGAAACCAGCCAAGCGACCAAAGAAGCAATCATCTTCGGATGATGATGAAGATTTTTGCATCATCTGCATGCATATGTCACCAAAGAAGCTGACAAAGTCGAACTCCATCGAATGCAGAGTATGTTACAGACCCGTGCACCTTGGTTGTGCCAAAACATACGCCAACAAGTTCACATCAAAAGATGATAACGATTCCGAAGTGGCCGATGAATTCGATGATTCCGATGAATAATCATCTTCAATTTCCATGTCAAAAGCACATAATTGAAAAAAAATTCAATAATCCGTCGAAATATGGTGTTGTTATTTCATTATTTCTTCTATTTTTCAGATTTTTTGGGGTAGCTCGTTTGACCCTGCAAATTTTTTTTTTGTCATTTTCAAGGTGTTCGGAAAATTTGCGATAATTTTTTTTCTGCACTGAAATCATAGGACTCTCTTAAGCAAAAAGTTTTCTTTTGAGGTCTCCTTTCCAAGGGTATATATATGTTATACACATTATCCACTTTAAAAGATGTTAAAACGGTAAATCAAAGTTCGGCCCGTTTGAGACTACATTCCCTTGCATCTGTCAAAAAGCACGATTCTTCGCTATAACATACCTGATGTTCTTTATTTCAATCAAATGCTTAGTGCATATTTCTTATTATCATTCAATATTTTATTCAAACTTTATTCACATTATTTAATTTCAATATATAGTACCTTACTAGGGGGATTTCTCACACAAAAAGTTTGAGGAAATGTGCAAAAATTTCTATTATTTCTTCTTTTTTATTGAAATTGTATGAAAATGTACTGAAATGACGATTTTGCTTGAATAAAAGTGTTCTGGAAGTGAGTTTTGGTGGATCCTCAGGATGGACCAGATCCGGTTTGACATTGCTCTGGTCCATCCTGAAGATCCACTTCCAGAACCGGGAGCAGTTCTGAACGATCCTGAGGATCCACCAAAACCCACTTCCAGAACAATTGCATTGAAGCATATTTCAAAAGTTCAGTGTAAATGTACATTTATTTACACGAATGACAAAAATTGATCGAATCGGACCGAATTGAAGAAAATTTTCAAAATTTATGAGAATTCATTCATTTTTTTCGTGAGTAATCCCCCTAGATACCTTATTACCCAATAAAAGTCTGAAATTCACATTTTTCATCGTTTTCATGGACATTTCCCAATGAACACACGTAATGCTAAATATTTGTATTTTGTGCATATTTTAATGTAATGCTAAATGTAGCACTAAAAGTGCAAAAATTGTGAAATTTTTGGGCCGATTTAGATAAAATTTTGTTTCTGGGCACAATATGTGTAGAAATTGTGCACGATTTGGGAAAAATTTACTATGCACAATAATTGCACGTGTTTGGCTCATT